AATAGGCTAAGTAGAGCAGTAAATTAGAATAAATCCTAAAGAGCCAGGCAAACCTACCTAGGTTTCACCTAAACGGATCTTAAGGGTAAACAGCCAGTTTACCTTGAGGATCCGTTTAGGTGAAACGTAGGTAGGTTTGCCTGCCTCGTTAGGATTTATTCTCTCTCTCTCTCTCTCTCTCTCTCTCTCTATCTATATATATATATATATATATATATATATATATATATATGGCAAAAATTCATTCAAACACATTGATAAATTCAAAGAACAATGTCGCTGTGTTTAATTTTGTATTGTATTATTCAATTTTATAATAAGTTGTTTTACGAAAAATATCAATATTGTAATGTATAAAATACTTGAAGCATTGTTTGAAGAATGGAGTTGAAGCACCAGAAATTAGAATCTACAGAAGTGATGGGGACCCAAAAGATGAAACCACGGAAGGAAAATACGGATTAGAGGTAAGAAAGATATATTAAACAAAAAGGTTACAAAGATAGTGTAAGTGGAGCTTACTATGTGTTAGTGTCCAATATTGGTAGTCGTATGCGGCTGATACTACGGTATTATAATACTATCTCTCTCTCTCTCTCTCTCTCTCTCTCTCTCTCTCTCTCTCTCTCTCTTTCAGGGTATTATATCGCATACTTTATATAGTCCTGGAAGAGTCCATGTTGTAGGTATGTTACGGTCTCACAACAAGAAGGATGCTGAGAATACTATGGACCGAACATGTGAACAAGGACGAATTTCTGGAGAAAATGGAAACAAAATGGCATCAGAATGTTCTAAGGCATAGATAGATATTATAGACATAAAGAAATAGATATGAATAGATTTAGATACAATGAAAGAAAGAAAGATAAACTGAATAGACATAGAAAGAGAGATATGAATGAAGTGAGATAGATAGATAGATAGATAGATAGATAGATAGATAGATAGATAGATATGAATAGCCATAGAGAAATAGATATGAATAGATTGAGAAAGAAAGAAAGAAAGTTTGGAAAATGTGACACTCACAGAACAACTTGAAGGTAAACGGGACAGTGTAAAACGGCGCGCAATCTACATAGCGAGTTTGTACAAATCGCTGGTACAACAAGGGTTTAGAAGAGAGAACGAAAGACAGAATTTACTAAGAATTGAAAAGGACACGAAAATGTGGAGAGACATGATCGACAACGTGCTGAAAAGACATGGAATGTAGAAGAAGAGCGTGAAACCTTATTAACGACGGGAGCTGTCCCCTGTTGTGTGTTAGAAATGTGGAGCGTTTTTTGGTCTGTCTGAATAATCAAGGTTTTGAGCACTTTAATTTACTTCTTAGAGAGGTGATTAGATTTATTTTCGTTTTTATTTCCTTTCTTCTAATTTTTTTCTCGTCTAAGGTATTAGTTTTTTTGGCAAGTTGTTGGTCACAACAACATTTTCAGTAGTACAGGCACACACGTTATGGTAAAGGAGCTAAAGTACACGGAGGTAAACCAATTGGCGCAGATAGACATTGAACTCTGTTGAGCATACACATTAAGTAATAAAACCCCAAAAAAGATTTCAAAGTAGAGATTAAATTAGGGGTACCATATGGAACCACTGTCCAAAAAATAATCCAATCCGTTTGGGACTTACCATTTTAGCGATGTTTTAGGCACCAGGTATATAGTTCTTACTTATTATAAAACGCAGATTGTGTGTGTGTGTGTCTGTACGTTTATATATTGGATCGGATTTCCTACATTTTTCAACCGATTTCAACAAAACTTCACAGGACTACGTAAAATTACCTTGCAGTGGTTCTGACAGCACCAAAAATTGGAAAAACACAATTTTTTTTGCATGAAATCAATTTGAAAACACGATGTCGCCAGAATGAAAGGGGACAACTCATATCGAGTTATACTTATAAAACCCAGGTTGTTTGTATGTGTGTGTGTTCGTTTATATATGGGACAGGATTTCCTACGTTTTTCAACCGATTTCAACAGAACTTTTTTTGGGGCAGGTAGTGTTTCTTATTGTCTTGCACACATTTTTCTTTATTTTTACATTCAGAATGCTTTAAAAATTCCATTTACAAGACAATTGTTTATAATAAAATTCTATTCAATCGGTAGACTCATAACGCTTGAAAACAATGTTTTTGTTTGAGTTTGGGTTTGACCAATTCGTAAAAAACAAAACAAAACAAAAAAAACAAAACAATTAAGACATGCTTGTCCGTCAACCTTAAACAATAATCTTTGTCAATTTTATCTTTCAGTCTTTATGATGGTCGATCCTTGATTTATCTCTTACTGTTACATCCCCGGGAAACGCCGGGCTCTACTGTTAGTATATATATATATATATATATATATATATATATATAGTTCGTGTGCACTTTAAAAAAAATTTATAACTTTATTTGTATTTGCAACAGAAATAATCTGTAAAAAATGTTATAAAGTTTAATGTACTTAGTTTTAAGTATCGCTAAAATAACTAATGGGATTACAGGCGTTACTGTAAATCAGTTGGCAATTTTTTTTTTCCGTGAACTGCAAAATCGTATTACCCTTTGTATTGCTAATGATGGAGGACACGTGGAAACTTAAATACAATTTCAATAAAACCTTAAAAAAATAGATTTACTTCTTTCTCATCCTTTTTAAAAATTATTTCTATCGCAAATACAAATAAGGTTATAAATGTTTTAAAGTGCACACGAACATTATGGACACTCTTACATATCCTTTATTTACCTATCGAGAGCATGCTTTTGTCTGTAGAGTCGACCGCTGGGACTGGACTTGTGCTCATTAACGATGTGGACGCCGGGCCAAGTTGTTAGAAATTTTTGTAATCGAGGCGTTGCATTAAAACCAAATTGATTTTCAACTAATATTCTTAAGTTCCTCATATTTGTTAATTTGAGTGATCGTCGTTGAGTCTAGAACTGTTAAAGTTAAAAGAGGGTGCGTCATTGGCTTATTATAAGGTCGCTACCATTCCAGATGACGATCAGTATATCTTTATTAGTTACAGAGTATGACAATTTGAAATGAACATAGAATAGGCTACCCTAGAAGCAGTTTTATCCAACTTTGTAAGTTTCCCTACAACTTAAAAACTAGAGTCATATTCTTAAATTACTTCGCCAGATCGATACTCTCTTATGATTCTAGCTAAACACATTCAGAAACATCTAAAGTGTAAACAGAAGGATAAAAATGAATTTGAATGAATGTAGCCCCCCCGTTTTTTTTTACTAATATCCTCCCAATACAAAACCTAAGAGCCGCTCAAGGTAGCGGGTTACTGAATGATGCTGTATGAGTGTAAGAATAGGAGGTTAGAAGTGTAGTGTATGAGGTTATGTAGGAGATATAACAGTTAATGCTAGACTTGATGAAGTTAAGATTCTAGAGATCTAGTCAAAATCCTCTGGGGAGTCTGCGCCACAAGGTAGCTGCTCATCTGAAGAATTTCACTAAGTACAATATTCTTACTACTCTCATAACGGGTATGAGGATGCCCCCCCGGGCCACTTGTACGTGGTATAGCAAAGACTATCCCCTTTCGAACTTCGTGGGCTGGCACTGCAGAATCACAAACGAAAAACTGTACAAAATAACAGAAACCGCATCCCTTGGGGACTTTTAAGAGCAGCAACAAATAAATGGAAAACAGGAATAAAAATGACATAATAAAGTTGACTTTTCACACAACATCGCACAAAATGTTAAAGAGGAAGTCTCAGTAATGGAAGTAACAATAAAGGCGGATTTCAGAAAACTATTTTGCTGATATTTTATAAACTAGAATTTTTTTGCAACAAGCTGACACGTGTTAAAATCTTCACAATATTTAATGTTGTTGAAGTTATCGCTAACATCTTTTGATGAGATTTACAAACGCTACATTTCATTCAATTTCACAAACCAAACGATGCAATTTGAATAAGCTGATTTATTTGGAAACATACTTTGACAAAATTCACTGTTGATGAAGTTTCTTTAATTTAATTTGATTTTATAGGATTTCATGGTAAACAATATTTTTTAAGAAAATTTGTTTGTTTTTCTTTTTAACTGCAAAGAATAAATTATTAAGATTTCTTACTCTTGAAAATGCAAGATAGAAACTGACCATGCATAAATATTTATTCTACAGCCAAATTCCAAAGTTTTGGAGCATTTGGCCGTGTCATTTGTTTATAGTTCTCTCAAACTCGAACTGGAAATTGGATTCTTGTATATAAATACTCAAAGAAAAGATATACAAAAAGCAATATTGCATTTTTTATTAAATAAGCATTTGTTATTTTAATCATTAAATTGGTCTTAAAATAGTGGGCGTATTTTTATATTAAATAATAAAACATTTAATTTTTCCAAAATATAATGAATATTTTTTTTACTAAGGTACTTGCCTTAGTAAAACCAATTGTACTTTGTACCCGCTTACCTGTTCGCACGTCTCCCCAAAATTTACTTTCGATCGGTCAATGCATGGTTCTTTTAAAGGATATGACAGGCGGATGGACTAACAGAAGTCAAAGAACTTTATATGTAAGATTCGACTAATATTAGCATTGACTTTTTAGTGAATGCCGAATGTTTGACATAAGTAAACATCAAATATTATCATTATCATTACTCAAAGCGGATAAGCGACTGAGATCAAAGAGAGATAGTCGATTAAAAACACGCTGTCCATTGACTATTACGTTTTGTACGATTTTATCAACGCTTTGCGGAATATGTAAAGCAAGAAAATACATTCTAGGTTATAAGATTATTTTTATAATAATTTTTATAAGATAGTAATGATGTAGTGATACAAGTTTTACTTATTAACCCATAGCTGGGGAGAGAATAGATGAATTCATACCTTTCCCAAGGGTATTTGTATGTGAATTAATATAGTGAACCCAACTGAAACTGGAACTCTGATCTCCAAATAACAATTCCGAGCCATTATCAATTACATCACACGCACATGCAAGGTTACAACACTTGGTATTCCCAAGCGGTCACTCATCTACGTACTGATCAGGCTCGACGTTACTTAACTTCAGTGATCATACAGGGAACCGGTTTGAACATGATGTGGGCGCAAGCCTATTATACCACCCTTACATACAAGCTTACATCACCTGGTATCCGCAAGCGGTCACCCGTGTCGGCACAGACCAAGCTCGACGTTGCTTAACTTCGGTGATCGCATGGGAGCCGTTGTTTCAACCTGAAGTGGCTGTAAGCCATTACACCACCCTCACATCAAAAACATTCAACGGAAGCCCTACTTTAGATCTATATTTTAATAATGTCTCTATGAATTTATTTCCCGATTTTTCAAACTAAATTTTGGAAGAACAACGACGTTATCATTCATTCTACTTTTGCTCAACGAAGGTAAATTTGCAAGGGTTGTTTTGTTTTTTGTTTTTTGTTTTTTTTAGGCAAGTGTGATAAGACGGAATCAATGTGTTGCATGAAACGGGATACCTGTTTGCAGATCTGGATTAGTGATTGATATATAAAACAAATCTAATATATTCTAGTCATATTTCATGAGTCATAAAACCTTGTCCAAATATTTAATTAAGTAAAGGTATGAAGAGAGCATATTTGTCTGGGAAAGAAAGAAACCTGACCTGAAAAGCTTGGCTATCCATATTTATTCTCATTGATGATAATCACAGAACTAACGTAAAAGAGTGGATCCCACTTCAGTATAGCATTAGCACTTAGCAACAAAACCAATGAAGGGATTCTTCAAATATCAAACTTATCGGTTCATAGGATCTGTTTGATATATCGACATTCTTATCTGATAAAAAAACACCTCGATGTACTTTTCTTTCTGTCATTCTTTCTTTCTTTCTATCACACTCTTTTCGTCTATCACAATATTTTTGACAATCACACTCTTTTCATGTATCTATCTATCTATCTATCTATGTATTTATCTATCTATCTATGACACTTTTTATGTATCTATCAAACTCTTTTCATCTATCTATCTATCTATGACACTCTTTTCATCTATCTATCGATCGATCAATCGATCGATCTATCACACTTTTCATCTATATATGACACTCATTTCATCTATCTGTCTATCTATAACACTCTTTTCATTTATCTATCTATCTATCTATCTATCTATCTATCTATCTATCACACTCTTTTTATCTATCACTTTTTATCTATCTATCTATCTATCACACTTTTCACCTACCTATGGCACTCATTTCATCTATCTATCTATCTATCTATCTATCTATCTATCTATCTATCTATCACACTCTTTTCATATATATATATATATATATATATACATATATATATATATATATACCTTAATAGCTTTGCATGCCAATCTTGTCCGCCTGTTGAAATCTTTCGTACATCTAACACCATTGATATGAGTCCGGATTCAGGTTATTGTCAAGATACTGAATGCTGATTTTCAAATCAATGTGTCTTAATCTATCTGAAAGCACTATGCTTACTTTGTACTAGCTAATAATTTCGCATGCTTCTAAAATTTCTGTTTATGCTATTCAATCTATTATCAAATGGCAAATGTCAAATTTGCATCTAAATCACCGTAGTAGAACCTACTTCTTCCCAATTTGCTCTACTACAGATTAAGGCAGATTGACAAATAACAATTTGTACGTGCTTGGGTATCTTTACTTTATTTTAATGCAACAATAGTGCATGTCTATTTTGGAACAGATTTTGAAGGTTGGTGTTTGACATGTTTAATTAGACAAAATATATTTCCCAAATCGGTACCGGTTTTTGAGGAAACGGGTTTAAAATGTAAGCCTAGGTTCAAAATTGAAGTGTTGGGATTTCATTTCGGTGATGTTTTAAAATCTTATAGCGCACACCTGTAAAATTTATAATTGAAATTTATTCAGTTGGTTGGTTTGAAATAAAATAGGATAATAAATTCCATAGCTAACACCTGTATATCTTCAATATGATCCAAGTAATAATGCAACAGTCGACCGAAATACAGAATGTCGCATTAAAAAATTTACAACACAATGCTTTCACCTTGCTTTCAGAAAATGTTATTTTTTATGATGTTGAAGCCAGATGAATTGATGGTGAGAGAAGAGGCTATAAAAAATCTTTTGCTCATTAGATATGCAAACATTTATTCATATTTAATTAGCTATGTCACTTTACAAGACTAATTTGAAAATGTCATTCAAATTACGCCACAGAAATATAACCATATATGGGTAAATTTTCCAATCATTTTTTTTTCAAAAGTAGCGAGTCACCAAAGAAGAAATTAAAAAAATGACATTCATCAACTCTGAAGCGACACACTGGCCGAATTTGATTAACCACTTGCAAAATGGACTGCGCATACAGGAGGTTTTTGAAATTCAACTTTTAGTATCGTATGCAAATTAGATAGACAAGTAGAAATAGAGGACAACTGACGAACATAAGTTGCGATGCCTAGCAAACCAGGTTGCTATTCAGGACACGGTAAACTGTAGTAAGACTACTACTACTCAGAGAGAAGTGCAACACATAACAGAACGGCAAAAGGTTGTAATGAATGGAATTCATGAATTATTATAATTTTAACCTAGACAAGGCGATTAAGTCACTAGATAAAAAATTCGTGTACACGTCAGAGCTTTCGAGCTGATCTCTCCTCTGTTCTAGCTCTAACAGATCAACGTAGGAAAACTGGCAACATTCAAAATTCGCAAAACCAAACTAGTAACCTTCTATCATCACCGAGCGAAGCCTGAATTTTTTCCTGACATGATGAACGGTTGTACTAACATTGAGGCTTTTTCTCTTAAATCTCTGTTGGGATTTATGTTCACCCCAGGTCCCAAGTTGAACTCAGATTTACAAACTATGGTTAAAGATTCTGGGAAAACGGTCGGTTTATTGTGCCGTTACAGAAAGTATTATACTCCTTATGATGTTGTTTATCTTTAGAAAAATAAGATCAGTTCAGAAACGGAGTATTGGAGATTCCCAATCATCGCTTTATAATTGCTGTTATTGAAAATTGTTTCTTGTCGAATAAGACGATTAAGCATACATTTTTCTAACCAGAGTTCCATATGGACACATTTAAAACCGCATGAAATTGTACCAACCGATTTAGTTTCCTTTCTTTCACCATACGGTCAGTTTTAGCCCCCCCGCCTGGAGTGACAGGGTGTAATCGATTAGATCATTTGCAGTGGTGTGCAGTAATATGAGTCTATTTTCGAGGTGCGTGATGAAATTTGTTTGGCCTTGAAAAATATTGTGTCATCCGTGATTGCATCATATTTCAATCACTCCCAGACTCTATTGTCTCGACTGGATGGACGTTACTCCAAGGAAGCGTACAAAAATTGTAACGCTGCACGAGCACACTAGTAACCCTTACCAGCGAGCAAATCAAAGTACTAGAGACTGGCCTGAAATCTCTCCTGATTTAAATCTAATAGAGAATCTGTGGTCAATCTGCAAGGAACGACTTTGTGGAATGGATATACGAAGTACTAACATGTCATCTTTCATTGTAAATATATGAAAAAGTAAATAACGTAATTATTCGTTTTGTTTCAATTGATTTGCACAACGGTGTAATAACATCATTTACATATACAGTCACAATATACTGGCTATATTCGAGAATTAAGAATATTCCTAAATTTCAGTCGCATTTACACAGTCTACAATACCATTTACGGACCATTTATTATGGTATTATGACAAAACCCTTGAAATAAGTTAAAATATTAGCAAAAGCCCTTGCGATCAACAAATATTTGGACACTTTCTATGTACATTATATCTAGAAAAGAAAATACTTGGCCGAATACAGGAAATATATAATAAACATCTGAACAAATGTACTTTGTCAGTCTTTTTTTAATAAAATTAAAATATATTGATTGAGGGGTGTGTTTTGGGGTTTTTTTGGTTTATGAAATCTCAGCAGGTTAGTTAAACCCAGAAAATATTTTGACATATTAAGAATGTTTTGGAGATAACAATGATTTATTAATACAAGATGTACGACTTAATCTATAGCTGAGTGAAGAAGATGCGGAAATCCAAGGGCATTTTCACATGAGTGAATATAGCGCAACCGACAGGAATTGGAACTCGGCTCCCTGATTTGCAATTCCATGATATTATCATTTATACCACCTTCACATCCAAACTTACATCAATTGGTTTTTCCAAGCGGTCACTTATCTAAATACTGACCAGGCTCAGGTGTTTCATTGTGATATGGCCGCAATCCTAAACACAAACACACACACACACACATATATATATATATATATATATATATATATATATATATATATATATATATATATATATATATATCAGATTGAATTTGAATGTAATAACTCTGGTACTTACGGATTTAATAAGCCAGTATATTCTCTTACGTATGTAAAACTTTTCTAATTAAATCTCATATTTACACTGGCATGGCGAGTTTTAGTGTTATGTGTAGAGTATCAGACTGATGCACAGATGTTTTCGGACATTCACCTGCTGTGGATTTTCATTGGAAACATTATTGTTCCGGCAGAATTAAGAGAAGATAATGAAAACCTGTTTATTATTTCATCCACCGTCCCGCAAACTTAGAGACACTTAAAATGGAAACACGCAGATTGACAGAAAGACTGGTTTCTTCTTAAATCCCTGAAGAGAGTCTGGTTGCAAATCAAGTAGTTGTAAATCAGTATAAATCCACGGGTTTTATTTCTTTCTTTCAGTCAGTTTGAATAAAGTATCCAACAGCGTTGATTAAATTCATGAAAATGTTTCAGGTTGAAACGTTTTATCAAACCAAAAGAATATTTCTTAAAGGCAGACAATTGGAAGTTATACAGACTCATAGGACGCAAGAAAATTCCATATTGTATCTTTTGTTTCAAATGTCGTACTTGAAACATTAATAAAAAAGAAACATGTAAACGACACTTTTGATTCCTGTTTATTTTTTTAAGAAGTGATTTCTATGTTTTATTAGATGGGGGAAGACAGACTTATTCTAAATAATTAAAAAAAGTAACTCCAAAAATAATTAATATCCCTTGTATGAAT